CGCTTAGTTTTACAAATGCCTAAAGATTATGATAAAAAGGATCTAATATATTCCTTGACACAGAGCAGACGAATAGGATAAAAGAAATAACGTACAACAGAGCACAAAGGCAAGCAAATAAATCCGTTTTCCCAAGTTTCGTGAATCAAATACCTTTAATACGGGTTTCACACTATGCCAAGTAGTTCCACTTCGCATGTCAATAATAACGGCAAATCCGAGTTTCTTTACATTTTCCTCAGGGAGGTAGGTGAGGTAAAGGACCAAAAAATAGAGTTCCTCGAGAGGTAGACAATCAGCATGAGAATTAGCAGGAAAGCAGAGAATCGGCCCGCCGTTCCTAGTGCGACCCCCGGGTAGCATTGCATATTTACCACGAAGAAGGGGTATCAGTTCAGCTGCGCGAAGCCTGGCGCTAGAGGATTTATGACCGCCTTTAAAGTTACTATTGAGCGAAGCGTATCCGGAAGTTCCACTGCTAACACTTGCTGCACAACCACTTTGACTAGATTGACAAGATTGTGGACTGTGTCTAAATGTCTCCGAATGAAGTTGTCGGCCAGGGAGGTGCTGCGAAGCACTCTGAGGGCGACCTTGCTGATAAACACGAAGCAGCTGAGGATGAATACCGTGCGCAGCATGAACAGCAGCCGTAAGGGGCACCCGCAAGGCACTGCTTGTTTTTAAATGAAGAGGAAGCTGTGGTACTGGCTGTGACCGATGAGGATCATGAGGATGGCAATTGTGACTAGAACTAGACAATCGGTTCTCGGTGATATGGGATGGTCTATAAAAGTCTAATACCTCAGAATCTATGTGTTTACTAGAGTGTTCCATTACACAAACACATCCCAAAAAGGCGTAAAACAAGAACCGATAACCCACAAAACCCTTCAATTGAAATGCGCCGAATATAATACAAATGAGGCTTCCAACGTTTGTTCAATAAAACAAAAAGCCTAAAATATTTATTAACCCATCAAAAATTATATGTTTAGATGTCGGCATTCGAAAAAATTCATTAAAAAATTATAATTTGTTAACTAGCATGATGATTGTAAAAATGCCTTTGAATACTACTAAAATTGCAATTGAATATCATCAAGATTAAAAACTAAATGTGAACTCCCTAATCATTAGCATTAAAAAACAATGTTTTTTAAACTTTACGTCTTTAGTTATGAAATGCCTTTGAACATTTAGCAGCATTTATTTACGGCGCCCGAGCACCCACATTTTGTTATCAAAATCCATGAAAATTTTTGCTACAATGCTATGCCTTAAATGAATTATGCGTTCCAGCAACATTTGAAGCGTTCCAAGACTTTTTAATCAATATTAAAAGTCAGTAAGTGCGGCTGGATACATGCATGCTGAAGACGAAAGGGCAAATGGGCCTGGGCATGTTCCGAAGACTAGTCCACGAATACAAGGGCCAGACAACTGCAGTTAGAGATTCAGGGATTCTTTATCAACAAAGCAAATGCGCCTCCTTCAATTCCCATCCCTT